TGGTGTCATTTCATGTCTTTGGCTTGATTATCTCGAATTTTAATTTTAGTTGGGGGATTTATTCTATTCTAGAGTAGTTTTATTCTTTTTGCTACCAATCGATAACTTGCAAAGCCCATTTTGTAAGTTATAACAGAGAAATAGAATGAAAAAACTTGAATTTATTTCTTCTGCTGTCCATCTCTCATATAACAGGGAGGCCCAGGACTGCTGTAGTGCTAGTCTTCAAAAATATATTCAAGAAAGGAAAAAATAATACTGTACTGTAATTGGCAGTGTTCATATATATTCAATATTCTGGAAAATGGTTTTGGTATGTTTGTTAGTGGATTTTTTTTTTTCTTCTTGATTCTAGCTGGTTTTCATTATATGCCTGAACCAAAGCATTTGGACTTTTTTTCCCTTCCCACTAGTTTATGAGTTACATTGGCCCTCTCAATTACGTTGTAGAACCTATATATATATGATTCTTCTAAATTATTTTCCCATTGAATTTTGGCATTTTGGCAGTGGAAAAATTAAGGTTCAGCCTGGCTTGTTTTTGGGAGAAGAAAAGCTCAGTCATATACTTAGAAATTTTTTATACATGGTATATATTCTATCTCCAGCATGCTCTTTCCTATAGCAAGTTCATTATTAAAATATCCTTCTTTGGGCAGCTTTATTTCCTAATTTCTGTTTTGAGAGGACATAAAAATATTGACCATTATCCTTGGCATAATAGCATAAGTAAATAAAAGGATTAATTGATCAGGTCTTTTTGAAAGAAACTCTAGTTCACAGCTCTTACAGAAAATACAAAGTACTGACTGACTAGGTGTATGGTCTCAGGGCTGAGCCACAATAGATGACTAAAAATGCTTTATTTCCTATGCCTTTTTGTTATTCTACTATGACTGAGTTTAAAAAAGGTTGAAAAGTCTTTTGGAAAAAGAACATTTTTATTTTACCTCATGATTCCATATTAACTTTGTTCTACCACATACTCATGAGTAGGCCAGTAAAGAAAGATTTACTAGAAAGTTCTCTGGACTTCTTGTTACCTGTGAGCTTCTCGCTACTCTTGAACAGCTAGACCCTACTTTATTCAGTTTTGGGGTGTTTAATTAGTTTTTCTGGTTTAATTCTTGCTGACCTATTTTCTAGCAAAAGTCTTTGGTTTCAGAAAAACAGTTTAATGTGCATTCTCCTCGAAGAAAACTAAGGATCAAACACAGGAGACTATCTCAGAATATGCTATTATTGCTAAGGAGAATGGTATTATCCATCTCTTAAAAGTAACAGAATTAAATACACAAGCTGTTTTGGCTCTTCTTTTTTTCCAAAAAGATTTTTCTCACTGTCTCTCTGTTGGAGGATAGCTACAGCTTGTGCATGGTTTAGACTAGAAAGAATTGGAGTGTTGGACTTGTAACTGTAGGTGTCCTATATGAATTTCATAAATCTTTTACAGCCCTGTTTTATATAATTCTGTGCTCTAGTTTTTGTATATTCCATCTATTTAATTTTATGGAGTATTTAGAGATAAATAGTAAACTGATTCAGTCAGGAATATGAGAAGTAAAAGGATATTCATCTTGTAAATTCTATTGTCATTTGTTTCTGTGCCACCTAACAAACAGATATACCATAAAAAGTAAATGTATAGTCAGTATTCTTTTTTATGCTTATTGTCTTCTGTATTTTTTCCCTCGCCCTGTGATTCTTTATTGTCTCTTTGATTAATCTTGTGAATGTTTCTGGAAATGAAGTAGCATTGTATTTTCTAATTTGTAAACTGGAGTTCTAAATTGTATAAAATCATACGTTGTTTTGACAGTCTTTGAGCTCCTAAATCACTTAAATGAAAGATGGTTCAGTTTACTAGGATCTACTCATTGAGAAGACAATCTTCAAGCTGCCTCTGTATCACATTATTTATTTTGTATCTTTGTTCAGTGCTTCAGTTTTCTGGAAGAACTCTCAGAATATCCAGCATGTTGCCAGACTCTGTGTTTATTTGACAGAGTTCTCATGCTTTTTACAAGGAATCCTAAAAGAGTGAGGGAGGCAGTGATTTCTTTGGCTAGTATTCATGGAGACTTGCATGGCTGGTTTTCTTTTATTTATTTATTTTTATTTTTGCTTTATCCATAGTGTTTAGACTTGGATGGTCTGTTCATTTCCTTGGTCTCATTCTTAACGATGAAATTTACCTAAAAATACACTGACAATCTAGGCCTTCCTACAACTGGGAAAGAGGCTGAATTGGTTTATAATTTCAGATTTACACTGCAATATTTCAGACTTGACTCTGTCTGTTGGTGCTCAGATCTCTTTGGCTTCTATGTACTACTTGGAAATCAAAAAATGAATTGGATTTTTGTGTGTTTTCAAGAATTCAAAAAAGTTAATATAAGAGAGAGGAAATAGCAGTTTATAACTACAGCTTGTCAAATTTGTTACACTTAGCAAATGAACCTTGACTCTTGACTGGAATAATTATTTTTAAAAATAGAGCATAATATTTCAATAATTATATGTTCTTTCTCTTGAAATGTTTTCACACTATGGTAATTGTAATTATGTAAGTTAGTGCATTTTTTTAATTGATGTAACCTAACTCTATTGTAATCTGAGTATGGGTAAATCCCTGGCAACCAGGTAATCTTTGAAAGGTTAAAACATCTCCTTCATAATTTCTAGTTCAAGATAAAGGCCCATTTTTATAGATGACTTCATACAGTCAGTCTAGACAATCTAATTATAAAAAAAAATTTTACTTGTTTCCTCTTACTTACTGAAAACAATAAGATGCTTAAGATAGTGACAAATACTTTAACTTAAGATAGTGACTTACTTTATCTGTGTACTCACAATCATATTCTCATTAATAGTATAAATGCCTCTCTTTTCCCAGTGCTTACACAAATGCCTGCCTCTATGAATGAAGGATTAATTCTGCTCTTCATGCTTAGTGTCTGCAGAGAGTATGAGTAACTTTGTACTATTGGCTTCTGTTCTGTTGTACTCTCAATGCTGTAAAAAAATCCCATAGCAATTAGTAATATTTTGTTTTCTTTTACTGCGTAAATTTTGTTGTCTCTTCAGTGGAGAAGTAAGGCAATGCCAATAATACTTGTGAAGTTAATATTTCTCTTTAAATATCCTCTCCTTCCAGCTCTTCACATGTACAGCTCACATTGACTTCAGGGAATATGCTATAAATTCAGAAGCTGTGAATTTTGGACATTCAGTGAGTGGAATAGACAACATATATGTCTCTTCTTATTTAACTGAGATGATGAAAATGGGAAAGCAAAGTTTGTCTGAAATGAACCCACTTATTTCCTATTTCTTCTGTTTTGAGTATTGCCACTTTGCTATCTCTAGAGGAGATAAATACCATAACTTTGTTAAGTTTTCCAATTTTCATTCTAGTCTTGCAGCAACTGATTTTCATATATTTTTCTCTTGAAAATAATGTTGGGATTTTTTTTCTGATTGTCATGTATCTCACTGTTTCACTCTCCAGCAGGGATTTCATACTACTGTAATGTGAAGAATTTCAGTGAGAGAAGTCTTCAGAAACAGGGAAATACCACAAAACATACTCTAGGGTCAGCTTTGGATGCTGTGATATTATAATGACTAAAATTTTTCTATGTGGTTACAACAAAGTGATTCTGATAATAAAATGGCAACAAGATTCCCAGTCCTGTAACTGAAGAGGATAAATGGCTATGAAGTGATGTTCAGAAGGCTTGCATATTAAGTGGGGAGCTGACCAAAACTAGTGGAAAAGAATCATTAGGCACAGAGATGAACTCTTGACCTTCTTGGGCAGTTGGGCACTTGACGCAGCTACCTTAGATTCCCTGGCTCAGGCTCAAAACTTAAGTTCACCTTCTGAAGATGATAACTTAAACAAACATTTTAAATTATAAAATTATGCTTTACAGGGCATAAGCCTGTCATTGTTGCCCACCATTTTTCTATTAAATAATTGAAATAGCATTTGTCAGGAACTAGTAAGCCATAAATCTGAACCCGGTTGATGGAGTTTGAATTTGCAGTTGCAGTTTCCCAGAAATATACCTTAGCAAGTGAGTTAAAAGTCTAGTTTGGGCTTAGAAATCCTCTTCCCTTTGTCTTGAGAATGAACTGCAATGCATCCTGAAATACGAGACCTGGAAAGATGGTGACAGCATGTAAGAGGAAGTCTGGCTCTATCTCTATAGATGTGACATCCAGCCTAGAGTGTGGTATATTATACCTGTATAGGTTTCCAGTCTGATAATTTTAATTTGATCTTGAAGAATAAAGAGGGCGCTTCTCTCTGCCAGATTGTCTTACAAAGACAAAATTACCAAAATAATTGTTTCTCCCTCAGGAATATTTGGTCAGTTGTTTGTAAAGAATACGTTGCAAGAGATTAAAATGGTAATTACATTTTGGTCCTCAGAGGAAGAGCAGTAGATCTTTGAGAAGTGTATAAATATCTGCATTAAAAGATAGTTTGCCTTACTTGGTGATTGGAGCAGGTAATTTATGCATGAAAGCTATGCTATCTGCTGACTATTGTAATAGAAAAAGAACTAGACTTTCCTTTTGCACAAATAATCGTATATAATAGCAAATCCTATGCCCAAAACCTCTAAAAATCTAGTCTTCTGAGAGAGCAGGTTTGAAGTCTTTTCAATTATGAGATAGCAGAAGAGCAAAAGGTTACAAAATAAATGAGAAAAAGAAAGGATTACTTCTTAGATGCTTTTAGTTCTAGAACTATTCCTTAGCAAATGCCGGTATGTTCAGATATGCAGTTGTAGAATCTTCAGGATCAAATCCAGGTTTCATTAATCAGAACAAAAGTACATTTCAAATGCACAGACCTTGAAGAAAAATAGCCTATTAATATCAGGCAGCTTGGTACATTTTGTATTGTATTTGACATGCCACCTTGCACAGTTGTCTACTTGTTTGTGATTTGTTTCTCTTCTTTTAAAAAATGTTATTTCCAGGTTGGATGAGTTAATTGAAACATTTCTCAGAGATAATGATCCTGACAGCTCTCTCGATGTTGGTGCTGACATGCGCAAGATCAAGTATTGCTTCGTTCATATGAAGGTATTTTTTGCAAACTGAGATGAAAGTGAATCTGGCACTCTGAAAGTAAATTGGAAATATTCATTGTTGAAAAGTGTTAAAAGAAATACAATGCAGTTGAGAGGTACTGGAAAACGGTAAAACAGTTGAACTATAAAGTACTCCTATGGAGGACTCATAAAAAATTTAAATGTAGCTGGGAAAATTCAGCAGCATTTTGTGGAAACATCAACAAGGATACCAGCATGCAGTAAATTGTAAGAGAGCACTGAAAGTTACTGGAATTGACAAGTTGTTTTTATATGGATAGATGTTCCCATCTGTATTTCCAGCATTACTGAGGCTTTATTTTGAACCAACTACATTGAAAGAAATAAAAATGTAGATTGAAATTATAGAAGATGATACTTTTCTGTATTTTGGGATATAATTTTCCCAATTTAATAGTATATATTTTTCTGATATTAATTTTTGTCCTTAAATAATTAGTTTTTAATTATATTTTTAATACTGAAAGTTCTGTGATACTAGAGAACACTGCAGTTTATGTGTAGAAAAAGTAAAATAAACTGCACCCTTGCTAGTGAAGATTAAAAAATACAATTTGTTTCATACTTGATTCAATGGATATAATTTGACAGTCAACTGTGGCATGATTTTATGCTGTCAGGAGTATAGAAAGATTTTACCTTTCTTACTATACTAGACTCTCTCAGAGTAGAATACAGAGCTGGAGGGAAAGTTAAAGCGGAGTGCTTTTTTTCTTTCTCCTAATAGCAAATTATAAATCATCCAATGACTTCAGATAAAAAACTGCTTTCACAAGACATCTCTGAAGAAGAAAACAGTAATGAAGAACTAGAAAAACTGAAAGGAGTTCTGCAACAAAGAGACAATGAAATCAGTATCCTTTGTGGGACAAAAAGTATTATTTGGGTTTGAGATGATCTGACTTACAACCATTTTTCTTTGTGTGAGAGAGGCTGTACTCTGTTAAAGGAAATACTCAATTCCCATCTTTTATATGACAGGACTTCTGCTTTGCACCTGCCTCTCTCTCCGTTTTTACCAAAATCAAAATCCTGGATCCAAGCACCTCTTAGGTTTAGAATAGTCCAGCCAATAACCAAATATTGTGGATCAGGCCACACCTAAAAGATTCTCCTCAAGCAAATTAAACTACTTTTTAGAGAGAGAAACTCTGACGCTATATAAAGACCAATCTATTACCTTACAAAGAATAGAATTTCCTGTATGTGTTATTTTTAGCAAAATGAGGTCTTGCTTTGGGGACTACTGGGCAATTTTCCCTTAGAACAAATATGAAACTTGTACTTTTTACATTTAAATTTAAAGCTTTTTGCACATAAGAGTGCTAAACTGCTCAGACGTGCTTTGTCCGTTTCATGGCCTCACAGGAAACACGAGTAGCTGTGCTTCAGTGCCATGGGTGGGAGGTATTTTTAGCAAGTTCAGAGACCTGTGGGCAAACCACAGCCACTGTGACCCCAGCTTTGTGGCTACTCAGTGGGCAAAGTTTGTAATAAAGCAGACAAATTAAAATATGAGACTGTTGAATGTAAAGGTTACAGGTTTTTTTCACAGTTATTAGTAAAGAGCAAACTCAATTGCATTCTTTGTGCTCAACAATTCCAGCTCAATTTTATATGTCAAATGAGAATGGCATTTTTCACTGGAGTGTAGCAGGTTCCCTGTCTGAACTGAGGTGGCAGTACAGCTTCCTTATTTCTGTGCTGTCACAGATGATAAGACTTTGTTTTTCCAAGGTGCAGTCTCAGATAAATTTAGCTAAAACACTGACACATTCCTTTCAAAAAATACTTAAATTTTTTAAATGTAAATTTTAATATCTGAATTACCAGAAACATTTCCTCCTGATATAAATTATTTCATTAGTATGAGATAAAAAGCAAGGGATCTCTATCAAATACGCTTGTGCTCAACAGATTTATACAGCTTTGCTCATAGAAGTAAAAGGAGGAAAGTCGTGTAAACCCATGTAAGAGTTAAATAAAAAGAATATAGGAAGACTTTGAAGAAAAGACTGATTTAGGGAGTCTGTGGTGGCTAAGTGACAGTACATCATCACTAGAACATTAATAACATCTCTAATGTGATAAAGTGGTGGGAAGTATGGAAGCTGTTGAATAAACTATGAGTTCCTTCTTGCCTACAGTAGCTAGACGCTATCATAAAAATTGAATTGGAAAGGGTTTTATTGTTATTACCTAGTCCAGTTAATAATATTCTCCGAAGACTACTTAGATTTTCTGCTGTTCATTAAGAAGATTAATTAGGATTAAAAAGAATAGCATGTAAAAATCATATCAGGGATTTCAGTGTTCCTAATTGAATGCATGCAGGATTTCCATTATACTTCCTCTATAAGCTGTTAGGCAAAACGTATTTGTATCTAATATACTTCCAGTAAATTCACAATGTTATTGCAAGAAATTTCCAGATTTTTTTGAATTTTAGTAAACCTTTTATGAAAAGTTTACAGATGGGATACACTTGCAAGGTTACCTGTAAATTAAGAGGTTTTATTCTTTTGTTTGCAAGTCTTTTTTTATTACAGAATTTAAAAAATAAAAAAGGACTACCACAATGGCAATAAGATCTTGTTTTTCTGTAAATGCTTTTATCAGGAGTTGATTGAATGGGATCAACAATTGTGGTCAATGTGTGACTTTGTTACTGTTTTAGTAAGAATTAATCTGCTGTTTGGAAAAACAGGTGGATGAAAATAATTGCAAAGAATATGTCCAACTTTAATTTCACATTCACACGTATCCTTCCATAATGTGAATTGTTTCACTTTGAAAATAAAAATGCTTATGGGCAAACAATGATGATTGTTGCCTTAAAAAAAATTAATTATTTCCTTAGTACATCTTGCAGATATTCTGGTAACTATGCTAAAAAAAGAAAAGAAGAAAGCACGAGATGCTCTTTCCCAGCTTAATGCCACCTCTACTGATTCTACAGTCTTGGAGCAGTCTCCTTCTATGAGCTTGGAAGAAAGTCAGAGTCCATCTAGATGTTTTAGTCTGAAGGAGGAAAAAGTGTTCAGCTCTTCTGTTCCCAGACTACCTTTCCTTTCCAGAACAACAGGTTAGTGTAATTAATTAAGTGAACAGTTATTGGATGATTTCAATATGATTTACAGTATATCCTTTAAATGTGGACCAAAACAAGGAAGCTTTATTTCCAGTACGAGACATATTGTGCTAATTCAATTTCTGCAAATGCAGGGTTTTAAATTTAAAGATCTCTAAGGTTCTGATGGCTTTTAAAACTTATGTAAATACTCTGTTGAGCATCCCTATGGAACCATAGTATAAACTCAGTTGCAGGTCCTTGATTCTTTCAGTAAATTCACAGAAAAAAATGAGGGTTTAAGCATAACTCATTTAAAAATATAAGGAAGTAATATTTTCCCCTGGAAGATCCATTACAATTTATCCTGATACTACAGGATTCAAGTTCCTGTTTAAATCATTGTAGAATAAACTCAAACGATTGAAACATTATTGACCAGTTAGCATGGATTGCCTAAGTAGGGCAGTTTTTATAGTGGTTATTTGAAATGGGTTAAGTGTTGACCATTGCAATTTTCTTTCCTTATATCATTTGAGCTGGTTATTTATGAAAAATAGGTAACAATATTCTTGCAAGTTGTTCATTTCAAAATTCACATAAAAAATTCCAATAACTGTAGATAGGTTTTTCTTGCATGGTTTCATGTTTTCTTCATTTTCTAGTTGAATTGTTCAAATAAAAAGATTTTTTGGTGCAGCAGGTTCTACATGTGTTTATGCTTTTGTTAGTAAAGAATATGCTTCATCCTAGATTATCACGTATGACTATTGCATATACACGATTTATATTTCTGTATACCTTTTAAGCATTTTGGGGAGCAGCTAGCTGAAAGAAAAGAAGAGTTTTCAATGTAAAACTCAGACAGGACAGCTGGCAAGTAGAAACTTAGATTTTGCTAGGGTACTCTTGGGAATGGAGTTCTTAAACTATTTAAGGTTGCCAATTATCCTCTAAAATTGCATTGTAATTGATCTAGTCGTCACACTTGTTATTTTGTTTCAGTTGCTCAGCTACTGAGGAATTCCCTTTGCGTTCTACTTTTCCTATTTACTATGCTTCTTCTCATTTTATAGGAAGAATTGATTGGATTTGATGTCACAATAGTATAAATATAATCACGTTCTTGTAACACAAATCTCATTACCTCAGAAATATACTAGCAAACAATAGCTATATTTTATCAACAAATAGCTAATATAATTACATCTTTTATACAGTGCCACTTATTCTTCAGTCTTTAAAAAATAACTTTATAAGCATTAGCAAAATCTTAGTATTGATTAATGCATTCCCTTTTTGCAAACATTTGTGTGGTTATGTTCATATGAGTTTTCTTTGAATGTAAAGTAGGAACCAGCATGTCAGTTCAAATTGACTGGATTGTAGAACTGGATTATTGCCTGCACTCTGCACTGGCAAGGCCAGGTTGGATGGGGCCCTGAGCAGCCTGATCTAGTGGAAGATGTCCCTGCTCTTGGCTGGGAGGTTGGAACTCGATCATCTTCAAGGTCCCTTCCAACCCAAACTATTTTGTGGTCCTTTGCTAAGCTTGGATGATGCATCATTCTCACTTGAGCACAGAGCCTCATTTTTCATCTATTGAAAGCCTGAAAATTATGTTCATCATTATAAAATTATCCACTCATTTCAAAATCCATCTGAACTGTATATATCTATATATATGCCATTTTGTCTATAGGCTTTAGGAATTTACTAAAGATTATGAAAGGGCTTGGGCCTGAGCCAGGGTCAAACTCCCAGGTAGAAGTTTTAGTGTAATATTAAACTATTCTTCATCACTTAAACTCTTTGTGTACTTTGCATCGTTTATGAAAATTTAAAAGCTTGAAGCATATATGGTATGTTAACTATTTGAACAATCTATCTTTTTTTAATTCTGTAGTCTTAAACTTGCCATCAGCCTGATTTAATGAAATAAACCATTGTATTTCTAGTGTCTCTAATGTGTTTTCCATTTTTCTATCTCATTTCCTTATCCTGAAAATTAAATTAGGAAATCAAAAGAAAGCTTGGAAAAAAAATATTTAGATTAACAAAATAGTTGTTGGAATGTTTATCTAATAATTTGTTGTAATTGGTACTAAAAATAAGTAATTGGAACTACTCATTTATTTTGCAGTTGATTTATTGTGTAGCTTTAATGTTTGCTTGCACAGAAACAGATCTTTACCATTTGGTGATAGAAGATAGAATAATATTTTTAACATTTTTTCCCATATGATCTGGGACCATATCTACATTGAAAGATATGTATACCCATATTTCTTGTCTATCTTATCCAGGATAGGATATTTACTGCTTTAAGTAGGAGAAAGGCAGTCATACTATTTCACTCCTGAGTTTAATGTAATAATCTGTGATAACAAGAAATTTATCTTCATCTCATCACAGCAGGAAAACAATTCCTGGTCTAACTTTGTCCCACAGCAGGCTGACTTTGGAGGTAAATGAGTAGTGACTTCTACAATGGTAAATGTTTTACAGGTACAGCTGTAATTTATCTCTTTTTAAGTCCGTCCTGCATTGAATATGCGTGGTCTTTTCAGAAGAAACTGAGTGAACATAATATATCTTCAAAGATTTGACATATGGTAATATTTACCTTCCTGTACATTCTGCCTTTTCTCCACCACGTGTATGCCTGGAACTAAATAGAAGCCTTTAATGGCAGTACAGACTCCAGGATTAACAAGGCCTAACACTTAGATTTGATTTCCATGTAGGTTTTTGGGCACCATTATATAATATTATCAGCTGATAATACCAAGTTGTAAAAAGTTTATTCCATAGAAACATAGAATGTTTTTGGGTTATGTAGGAGTCCTTAAGAATTCTAGTTTCAAAACCCCTGCCATGGACAGGAATGCCACTTGCTAGACCAGGTTGCTCAGGACCCCACCCAAGCTGGCCTTGAACAGTGATGGGGCATCCACAACCTCTCTGGGCAACCTGTTGCAGTGCCTCACCACCCTCTGAGTAAAGAATTTCTTCCTAACATCTATTCTAAACACACTGTCTTTCAGTTTAAAACCATTTCCCTTTATCCTGTAACTATCTGACCATATAAAAAGTTCCTCTCCCTCCTTTTTATAAGCCCCTTTAGGTAATGGAAGGACGCAATGACATCTCCCTGGATCCTTCTGTTCTCCATGCTCAGCAGCCATAGCTTTCTTTGCCTGTGTCTGATTTAATGTTGAAAGGTACTTTTTCTGAACAGATATGTCTTTAGCTGCTTGGTTGAATATCATATTTGAAATAAAGTCACTAGTTAAATATTTTTAAACATGAGGTTTGATCTCGCTGGAGCCCTAACTAAGAACAGCTGAAATGGGACGTGTGGACCATTGTTGTGTTTTTTATTGTGTTTTTTCCAGTTTATACTGAAGTCTAGATTAGGCTGTTTTTCTTGATAGCCACAGCAGAGGAGTATGCAAATGCAGTGTCCTAGTAATGCCCTAGCTTTCCCTGCTGGTGTTGGGTTACATAGCATTGAATTCTATATTATTTAAAAATGTTACCAGTTTACATGCTCTCAGATTTCTTTCTCTTGAATCCCAGAAGTCTTCTTTTAGGAAGGAGTGGTAGTAGGTAGGCTGCCTGGAAGCAGTGGAAGGCTGCCTGCTGCTGTCATTTTGTCAAGTCCGATGGCAGAAGACAGTGAACTTACATTGAACAGACCAGAACTTATCTTAGTCTAAGTGTTACACCATGGAAGGGGATAACTTGCCTTCTAATACCCATCTTCCATCACAGAGAGCTCTAAATTATAAATCTATAACTACCTGAGAGAGAGAGTGAGCAAAATAGTCTAACATAGTAGCTGTTGTTAGTATTGCATCATAACATCTTTCGTGAATCTGAAACAGACACAACTGGCTATGAATTTAAATTATGTTTCAGATGAACATTCCAGAAAATGCAAAAATAGGTGATTGGCTTAATAACCTGAGCTTTACAAATGCTTCAACAATTTGCTTTTAATATCGTCATTTAGTTCATCACAAAGTATCTATTGCAGCTTTAATTGTGTTAATAATTCATGCCTTCTAGGATATAATTATAGAACGACATATAATCTTTCTTAGGAGTTGAGTCAATAATAAATTAGTAGTTACAGGATAAATCAGAGAGTAAATGAATGTAACAAAAGGAGAAAAAAATCAGACTTCATTAGACAGTAGAGTGAGAAACATTGAGTTTTATTTTACTTTTATTGCATTATATCACTTCTTCTGTACAGAGAAGTCTTATTTTGAAATCAGTCCCTGATTTCAAAGACTGCCATTTGCCTCTTAGTTTAATTCTGTCAGCATAAAAGGCATATGTTACCATTTTTCCTCCTGCTAGATCTGTTTTTCTCCTGAAATATAAACAGTTTGGTTACTAGAAAACAATGTGACTATTACGACATTTAAAGAATTGTTGGGGGTACAGTAAATCTTAGTAAGAGGTTCAAATGGCTGTATAATTTGAGAGTGATTATTTTGTTCTCACAAAATATTTTGTTAAAATCATGTTTTGACCAGTTTGAGCCACTTCCATTTTCTTTCACTGAGAAGTTGTGAAGTTTTTTGAGAGTTTTGGGAAGAATTTATCTCCTATGTATCCCATTCATCATTTAAGATCACTTTTTGCTTGACACTATTCAAACACTTATAAAAAAGGTATTCCTGCTGAAGGGCTGACAAGCTGGCTTTGAAATGTAAGGTGAGAGATGGTTTCTATAAACAGATGATGCTTATGAATAGCATGAAAATAGTGATGTTAACACACATACTGCTCATTTCTGAAAGCTAAAGATTTTTATCTTGTATTAAGACATTTTAAAATATTTCTCTTGTCTATTTTATATATTTATGTAATACTTTGGGGGAAATGCTTCCTTCTATTGCTGAAAACCCACAGAAAGCTCCCTAATGGAAAAGGCTGACTGAAGTTTTCCATCAGAATCTCTTCTATGCTTTTAGTTCAGAAGAAAAACCTTCAGAAAA